TAAGAGACTATGAATGATTATTAGGGTAGGGGTGGGTCTGACTGTAGGGGCCGTAGCTAGTGAATTGACCTTCAAAAAGGACACTACAGGTTTCAAAGCGATCGCCTCTAAATTTCAAAATATACCCAATCTGTTCGACTTAAGCACAGCCTCGGACTTTTGACTACAGTATGTCACTTTTTTTAAAAGCCTGTACTCCCCGGGCCTGGCACCGGCGGAGCTCAGCCGGCGGGCCCAGCCGCCGGCGCGCAGTGGGCCCGGGCTCGGGCATCCGCGACTAGTAGGAGACTTTGAGTAAAGCTACGACTCAGGGACAGTGAGACTGCGGCGGAGGGCCGGGCCGAGTCACCCGGTGCTTTACTCAAAGTTAAATTCAATCATTAAAGATCAGTACGAGGACAATCACGGCCGGGCTGACTGCCGGAGAAGGGAACCGGCGGAGAACGTCGGAACTTCCGAACCATGACTTTGGAACTTCCGAAAACTTGAAACTCGGTGGCAACTTAAGTACGGGCGGTACGGTAAACTTTCCGAGCGAACTCGACTTGATCTGAGGCGGGCTACGCATTGAAAAGTTCCTTGTCGGGGAGATTCCACTATGGCCATGGGTCAGGGATTGGAGGAGGAAGGAGGAGGAGGAGGAGGAGGCCTGGATCTACTCCATCCTCTTACCTTCCTTCATGTCCTCCTCTTCTCTCTTCTTGTCTCCGGTTCAAACGGCTTCCTCACTGCCCCGCCCTCTTCCTTCACTCTCAAGAGGCCGCAGGTTGGTTTCAGGGTCGAGGTAACTTGACATCGCTCGCCGTCACTTCCGTGACATCTGACATGGTTGAAGAGAGAGCCAACAAGGCCGTGCCCATGTCCTCCATCACGTTCTTCAGCGGTGCTGGGATACAAGAAAGGTTGATGAAACAGTGGACGCTGGAGCTAACGGAGGCTGAAGGTGGATATGTGGGAAAGGAGGCCTCGTTACCATTTGCGAACGAGATGAAGAATGTGCGAAGGTTTGCTTGCTCATCGTCAGCTGACGCTCCCGATTAGGTCTTGATGAACACAGTCACAGAGATCTTCATCGCGTTCACAGGTTCTCTACATGATCCCATTGCAATTGTTGCAAGTCAAATGAGAAAGGGGCAGTTCTGCTGGGATGTGTGGTGATTGCAGGGCTAACGCTACACGAAGACCCCAAGATCATGACGCTGCTGAATGAGGTGAGCTGATGGAGATGGAGATGGAGATGGAGATGGAGATGGAGATGGAGATGTTGATGATGTTGATGGTGGTGTTGGAGACGATGATGGTAAAGATGATGATGTAGATGATGATGATGGAGTTGATGATCGATCCTGTTGTTGTCCGTGTTGTCAGTGTGGAGGGGGAGGAGGATAGGGGGGCCTCTTATCCATGTATGTCATCAGACTGAGAATGCGCTGAATTATTTTTTTATCTTGGAGTATTGTTGCAGATGGTAAGCGCTACAATCTTTCTGCTGCTCTGCTGCTGCTGCTGCTGCTGCTCTGCAATTCCTCCTCCTCCTCCTCCTCCTCCTCCTCCTCCTCCTCCTCTCTTTCACCTGTTACTTACCTCTGCAGGTACGCAAACAAGTTGGATCCGAAATATCTTCTGGGCTGGGAGATGGTCACCTGCTGCCCTGCTGCTTTCTCCTCTCCTTCCCGCATTCTTCACACCCGCTTTCATTCTCCTCTCCTCTCTCCTCTCCTCTCCTCTCCTCTCCTCTCCACTCCACTCCACTCCACTCCACTCCTCTCCACTCCTCTCCACTCCTCTCCTCTCCTCTCCTCTCCTCCCCTCTCCTCCCCTCCCCTCCCCTCTTCCATGATCTTCTCTCTTCTCCTCGCTTATCTTGCTTCTTCCCTTCCTCTCCATTCTCCCTTGTCTCCTCCTGTCTGCTCATTGAAATTCCCTCTAGATCATCGACTTTACTTCCTTCCTCCCGTTCGTCCTCTACCGTCTTGGCCTCGGAAACATTCCTGGTACTCGGAGGGAGGTCAAGCAGCAGAGGAGAGAGGAGGGAGAGGAGAGGAGAGGAGGGAGAGAAGAGGAGAGGAGAGGCGAGGAGGGGAGGGGAGGGAGGGAGGGGAGAGGAGAGGAGAGGAGAGGAGAGGAGAGATGAAGGGGAGGAGAGGAGGAGGTAGAGGA